CAGATCGAGGCCCCCCATGGTAAGGGAGGGAGTGGGTATGAGGCTGGGGCAGGCACTGCCCAGCTGAGGTGGAGCGCAGGACGGAGCCAGGGGGTGCGGGGCAAGCGCAGGCTGCTGCTGCAGGCTGGGGCCAGAGGCAGTGCTGGGCTCTTCCCAACACAGGGAGTTGGGCTGGGGCTGCTCTCGGGGCAGGCAGGCAGGGGTGGGGTGGGTGACGACATCACTGGGAGAGGGGGTTTGGGGTGGGTTGTGGCCACCCTGGGATTCGCCATAGCCACCCCATAAGTCTCCAGCCCCACCGGGAAGAGCCCAGCACCACCCCTGGGTTCATCCTGCAGCAGCAGCCCACTCTCACCCCGTGCACAAATAAGGGGGGCACATGCCCCCATGTCTCCCCTCCAGGGGTGTGCACTGTGGTGAGAGCTGCCCCCACCCTCCTTGGAAGAGCCGCTCGCAGCTCTGTCCCACACCCTGCCCATGTTGGGCAGTGCCTGCCCCAGCCCCACTCCCCACCCCACCACAGGGGTCTTGATCTGCACCTCCTGCCCTCAAACAGATGTACCAGCCAAACTACAATATGGACCAATGTACTGGTGTATCTCTACTGGCAACACTACTTTGGAACATGCTGTTCTCTCTGTTGTGGAGGCCCTGGCTCTGCCCTGTCCCCCATCTGTGCACGCACCTGGAGCTTTTGGACTCTTGAGCAGGCTGGGGAGTGCCCAGTGGTAATGTAGAGTTGCATTAACAGGCCCTGGTGGCAAGTCTGTCCCTTAGCTTGATCACTGCACCACAGTATTTTCTCTACTAGGTCTGGCCTGTTAAATACCAAGAGATGGGACTCTTCTGTGAGGTGTGGCTGTCATTGTTATCCCCTCCACCTCCATTAAGCTGCCTTCATTGCTCTTTGCTCAAATGGAAGTGCTCCTGCAGCTGGCAGCTTCATGCTTTTTTGTTCTCTTTCTTAGGTTGCAGTTGATATGGAGTTTGCCAAGAATATGTACGAGCTGCACAAGAAGGTTTCTCCCAGTGAAATCATCTTGGGGTGGTAAGTGGTCAGCCTGTACTCTCTTGCTTGTGTTTCTGGTATAGGGGGTTCCAAAGTGGTCACCTATCCCAATCCTAGTCAAGTTCAGGACTCCTTAGCTTAAAGCTTCAGGCAAAAATCTCTCTCTGCATTCAGTATAGCATGGCTGCTTCACAAACCTATTAAACTTCTTCAAATGAAAGCCAACTTGCTGGTTAGCTGGTGGCAGAAGTGCTAGCTGTTGGCTTAAAAGCAGATATTGTTAACATATATTAAATTTTGAGTGTGAATAACTTTTTTTCAGTTTTTTTTCTTCAGGAGATGTAGTTGGTATAGTATTCTAATTACTCCTGTAGTGTTTGAAGAGGTTGGTTTTGTGGCCATATATGAATGGTAATAAAACTTTCTTTTCCCCATGGTGGAAAGTTCTTAGACCTCTTGCCTAAGCTTGCTAAAGAGAGAGAATGAAGTACATCTTTGACATTAGTGTCTGTAAGAAAGGATGGGTATGTGTTTAGGACAGGGGTGCGCAAAATGTGGCCCACAGGCCGAACGCGACCTGCAAGGCCATTCTATCCAGCCTGCGGGGCCCCTAAAAAATTTAGAAAATTAATATTTATCTGCCCTTAGTTCCTGTCAAAAACAACAGG